TCGTGTCAGTTTTGCGTGTTGTTATTATCCATGTATCCAGACTACGAAGAAAACTTTCATGTTTTCTTTGCGTCCGTTGTCTTTTCTGCTTTCTCTTTCCAGTCTCTCTTTTCAATTGCCTTTGGCACGCATTCTGTTTTTTTCAGTGTTTCTATCTGCGTACTCTTGACAAACCACTGTAAATCGCATGTGGAGGTAACTATCACTTAATAATAATGATGATAATAACTTTATCATTTTACTTATATAGCGCATTACGGTGCGTCTGATGAATACCGATACTCTTTCGGACTGGCCATTGCCTAGAAGAAAATATTACTTGAAGAATTGTAATTAAATGTGAAACAGGGAAGGAAGGGAGAGGAATGGGGTTGAATCACTATCACTAGTCGTTTAGACTATTGTAATGGACTTTTGTATGGCCTTTTTAAGTCGCAATTAGCCAAATTGCAACCTGTGCAGAATGCTGCGGCTAGACTTGTACTGAGTTTAAGTAAGTATTTGCATATTTCTCCTGCGCTTTGTCAACTTCACTGGTTACCAGTACAACATCATGTTCATTTTAAGATCATAATTTTAACATTTAAAGCTATTCATGGATGGGCGCCTAGGTATATCATTGAAATAATTAACATGAAGCCTAGGTCTGTATACAATCTTAGATCAAATCAAAGTTTATTACTTAACCCTCCTAAGGCGAAAATGCTTGCCACGTTGGGGGACAGATCATTTTCTGCTGCTGCCCTGTACTTTTGGAATGCTCTGCCAGCTGAATTACGTGATATTCAATCATATTCCATTTTTAAATGTAAGCTGAAAACTTATTTATTTCGTGCAGCTTTCTCAAAGTACCCTGTCTGATAATTATTTTTATTAGCACTACTAATTAAGTTTCTTATTAAGATCCTTATTCCTTATTAAGATCCATATTATGGATATTCCATACCATTCTTATTTTTAACATACATTGTTAAAATTAATGTACATGTAGTTAGTTTTATAAATTTGAATTTACTCTAGTATTCTAAGTTGTTAAGCACTGTTGATCATTGAATGAAAATAGCGCTCTAGAAGTTATTAAGTTATTATATTATTATGAATCAGCTCCATCTTTTAGTATTAAGAATAAAAAACTATTCTTAATACTTCTCAAACAAAAGAAAAATAGATGACATGTTGCCATGTATCTGTTCAATAATAGATGACAAAAGTGTCATGTGAGGCGCAGCAGAGTGTGTCACTGATGTTCTTACTATTTTGACGTCTTCTGTGATCTATTACTAAAAAGACCAACGCCATCATGGATGATCTATTTTTCAATTGATTATTACTTATTTAGCGCAAAATACATGTGGATATGATCTAATGCACTAGAGTTCTGATTGTTTTATATGATAAATGCGTCTGTCCTCCAATCGATCATAGGTAAGAACCAATCACAATGCCAGCGTTACTTAGCTTATGATACATAAAACACCGGATATGCTGCAGTATGCATCTTTAAATGCATGTGACTCTTAACTATTCAACCTTTGATTGCAGACAGTTTAAGTATACCAAAGGTTTTTCAAGCTTCCAGAACGGTATGTATTATCAAAGTTACTGATTCAAGTGAGTTCCAGATAACTTTTTTCTCTGAATTTGCTTTTTTATCGATCTATAGCTTCAGAGTGATAATTTCCATTCGTGGAGAAACCTCCGTTCACGAGTTGACGTACATTAAAGTTAACCGTCACGTGTGGTGAGTATCATCTTATACAGTACGCTGGGAATTTATTTCGGCTCCTTATTATAGGAAAATTCATTACCTGACGAGGGATTCGTGCGATATCAGTTTTTGCAGGAAAGTTAACGCGAAATTGACGAGTTAGGTGATCGATTTTCCTTAAGTCGCATATTTGAACAAAAATTAGTAAAATCAGAGTTAACTTCGTTTGCTTCTTCGGATGAGAAAAAAAAAATAAAGGCTGATAGTTTCTAAAGAATCTGTTTG